AAAAAAAAAAAAAAGAAATGCAAAATCTCAGCCTCGGGTCTAGTCCTGCTGACTGGGGATGGGGCCCAAGAATCTGTTTCAGCAGCCCTCCAGGTTGTCTGATGTGTGGTAGGGTTTGGGCACCCTTGCCCTAAAGAGACACGGGGGGCTATAATGGTGTCCTCACCACCTTGCCAGGCAGAGCTTTGCGGTGCTCCGTGGGGCTGTCCTGGGACTGCAGGATGGAGGGGATACCGGCGAGGCAGTGGACACCAGCCCTGAGCCAGCAGAGGAATCCCCGGGTGAGGAGCAAACCCACGGGGACCAGACGGACGACGGGGGACAGGGGCCCCAGAGTCCCCGGAAGCAGGAGCAGCAGAAGCGTCTGCACCTCATGGTGGGGTTGCTGAGGCCACAGGATGATATCCGCCTGGTGAGGAAGCCCATCCAAGAGGGGAGAGATGAGACCCCCCCAGGGTCTGGGGGCGAGTCAGAGCCCAGGCGTGTCTGTGCCGGGAGCGATGGTGTGAGGGCAGGCGCCACCCTGGGGAGTGGAGCGGTCACCCAAACCCGATGACCCTGCTGTTGCGGGTGGAGGTCATGTCTGCAGGTCTGGGTGGGGCTTGTACTCTGAGCCAAATCAGGTCCCCAAGTTGGGAATTCACAGAGGTGGGCTTCTGTTCAGCCAGCAGATGTCTTCCCTGATGAGTTGTCCCAAAACAGACCAGTGCCTCTGAGGGCTTGCTGAGCACACACTGGGGGTGGGAATGCTGGACGCCCAGGCGGGGGGGGAGGGCTCAAACCCTGGAGGGGTGAGGTCCGGTGGGAGCCTGGGCAAAGCTCCAGAAGGCCTGTCAACTTGGGGACAACTCACTGTCCATGCCGAGATTCGAAAAGCAAGGCACAGCCCATCTTCATAAAACAGAATTTATTTATTTTTGAGTCGGAGTCCCACTCTTGCCCAGGCTGGAGGGCAGTGGCACGTTCATGGCCACCACAGCCTCCACCTGCTGGGCTCAGGTGATCCTTCCACCTCGGCCTTCCAGGTAGCTGGAACTACAGGCGCGCGTCACCACGCCCGGCTAATTTTTTTATTTATTGTAGAGATGAGGTCTTGCCAAGTTGCCCAGGCGGGTCTCGAACCCGTGGACTCAGGCGGTCTTCTCCCCTCTGCCTCCAAAGCACTGGGATTACAGGCGTGAGCCACAGCGCCCAGCCATAAAATGGAATTTATAACGGAAGCCCTGTCTTTATTGTGAGGTCACCTCCTTATATTCCTTTTTTTTTTGAGTTGGAGTCTCACTCTGTCGCCCAGACTGGAGTGCAGTGGCCGCCTCCGGCCACTGCAGCCTCGACTTGCTGGGCTCCGGCTATCCTTCCGCCTCAGCCTTCCAAGAAGCTGGAACTACAGGCATGCACTGCTACACCCAGCTAATTTTTTTTTTTTTT